GGCCGTCGCCCACGACACGAGTTTTTGGCCACCACCCGCATCAAGTCGCGTCGTCACGTCTACTATGGTACGTCGTCTGCCACTACATGTATGTACGTACAAGTAATGAGTCGCGCGTAGCGGTCGCCATCGGAATCGATCTCGTCCTGAGCTTCTCGTGGACGCTGGCGCTGATCCCGCCCGACGTCGGGTCGCCTCTGGGCACGGTCCTTCTCTCAATGCAGCCCATGATGCTGTTTATGGAGCCAATGCGTCGCGCCATGTGGAGCTGCCTCGCGATCAAGAACGAGCACCTGCGCAACACGCTGGGCTTTCAATCGACGTACTCGCTCCCGTTGCACTTGGATCCACCGTCGTCGCTTGATGAAGACAAAGCCTCAGCGACCACGTACTTGTACAAGATTGTAGCTCTGAGCGCGGGCTTGCTCTGTCTCAGCGTAGCCGCCATTGTGCTTGGATAGCATGGAGAGTAGGCAGGTCAGAGCAACATTTGTCCAAGTTGGATATTCTAGATGCATATAGTACTAAATGCGGCCACAAATTCCTTCATTGTCTTGGCCACGAGCCTCTGCAGCGACTACTCAGCGCTCTGGACACGCAATTTTGCCGCGACGAGGTCGTCGACCACCTTGACGGTAGCTCTTGACGGTTGCATCAATAAGATTGTGTTTTATAGTGAAAATAACTTGGTTTGACGACCAGAAAACACTTCTTTAGCCAAGAATGCTGACGATTGGGCCAACAACGACGCCGTCGTCTCCCGCTTCGCTAACACTACTACAACGTTGCATGAGTATTTCCGGATAACGCTCGCGCTCCTTACGATGCACCATGACTCAATTACCCAATGTCCATTCTTTAGTTGGGAGTCGCCGCAATTTGGCTCGGCTCCGAGCCGGCTTCAAAACTCGAGCTGTAGCCGACCCCCAAACGGCTTTGGGGAAACCGGCTAGCTGCACACACGAATGCTAGTTGACGCAGTCCGCTGGCTTATGCAACCCTTGGCAGGCGCGCAATCTTTTCCTCTCGTGCACCTCCTACCGCGCGATCATTCGCAAGTTCAAACCACCCCTGCTCATGTTTCTTGGCCCTTGCCCAATTGCCGCTCTAATAACGCACCACAGGGAATATGGAGTGGGTGGGGTGCGCCACCATATTAGGGCTGCAATGGTCGGGCGACCGTCAAGGAAGCAGTCAAGCGTCGCGTCCTCTCGAGCTGCTGGAGCGAACGAGAGAGAAAATTCTTGTCGGATCGCAATCTGCAAGGTGTAACAGCCCAGAGTGGGACGCCGTTTCGTTTTCTCACGCCACCACAACCCACGCAGCGCCGTCGGTTGACGAGCAAAGGAGCCCGATTCGAGCGTATATTAGCAAATGTGTAGATTATTTGGTGGGCTCGGATGACTGCCTTGCTCGCAGCCCTCCAGTAGACCCCCAAGGCCGCCACGTGGGCGAGCATTAGGGATCACATGGTCTACTCGTGTCCCCGGCTCCTTTCCCCCGATACAATTCCCAAGTCCACTTTTTCATCGGCGTCGCACGCCTGTGACGAAACGCTGGGAACACCGTGGATGCCATATGGCACGCGTCCGTGCTCAAGTCTTTACTCGCGCACGACTGCATTTAGTTTGGAATTTGCTGCGGGCCACACCAATGACCTCCAACAAGCAGATCGGTGCCATGGAGCTCCAAGAGCGCGTCTCGTACATCTCGGCGACGACCGACAAGCCAGCGGGCGACGACTATGGTGACGCCAAGACGCCCGGCGAACTCGAAGACGGCGCCCTCCGCGCGGGTGGCGCGCCCGACTACTTGAGCCGAGAAGTTCTCGGCTTGCTCTCGCAGTATGTCTGCGTCGGCCTCATCTACGGCTGCCTACCAAACATTCTCTACCCCGTCTTCACCGGCTACTACCACATGACCGGCGCCCAGTACAACTCGGCCAAGACGTTGGTGACCATCGGCTGGTCTCTCAAGGTGTTTGTCGGTATGATCTCGGACTGCGTGCCCATCAAGGGCTACCGCCGCAAGTCCTGGATGGTGATCGGCTGGACGTGTTGCCTCTGCTTCCTCATCGTCCTCTCGTGCATGGATCTCGGCGAGCCGTACTACCCGGTGGACGCCGTCGGCCTCAAGGGCCCGATCGACCGCACGGCGGCCGACAATGCGACGATCAACTACAACGCCAAGGACAAGGGCGGTGTTGTCGCCATCCTCTTTGGCCTCGCGACGATCTC